TAGATTTTGGATGGTTGGTGTCGTGTTACTTCAGATGTAGAGGTTTTGTTAGGTTTTGGCTGGTTGGTGTCGTGTTACTTCAGATGTAGAGGTTTTGTTAGGTTTTGGCTGGTTGGTGTCGTGTTACTTCAGATGTAGAGGTTTTGTTAGATTTTGGATGGTTGGTGTCGTGTTACTTCAGATGTAGAGGTTTTGTTAGATTTTGGCTGGTTGGTGTCGTGTTAATTCAGATGTAGAGGTTTTGTTATGTTTTGGCTGGTTGGTGTCGTGTTACTTCAGATGTAGAGGCTTTGTTAAATTTTGGATGGTTGGTGTCGTGTTACTTCAGATGTAGAGGTTTTGTTAGATTTTGGATGGTTGGTGTTGTGTGGGAGACAAGAAAAGTAGACGAGTATATTTGAAGATGTATGCAAGAATGGTATGATTACGTAGCCTGTTTCAGAAGCTTTTGTCTGAACCACACCAGTGTAAATTGAGTGAGGGAGAGCGTTAAGTGCGAATGCCAGTGCCTGTGATTGGACGTTCTGCCTCAGATAGGACAGGGACTGTTTTTTTTATTGAGAACATAAGTGATAACAATATACAAAATGACGTGTAATTAACAACAGGTTTTAGAAAACAGAAAAATATGTGATAAAATGATACAACATCATACAGCTTTTACAGTACAAACAGAATGATGATGATTTATACAATGAAAATGAATATGACAAAAAGAAAACATGAAAATTTGTCAATAAAAAACATATCAGGTTTAGCCTATCAGAGGACGAGGTATGTTCTTGGGATTGGAAGGAACAGGAGCGGGAGAAAGAGTTGGTGTAGATGCGTCTCCTGGGATTGGAAGGAGGTCCTGTGAGAACAGGAACGGGAGAAAGAGTTAGTGTAGATGCGGTAAGAGGGGATTTCACATGATGGAGTTGATACAGGATCTGATAGGTCCTGTGAGAACAGGAACGGGAGAAAGAGTTGGTAGTTGTTTAGTATTGTCAGCACCAGGATCTTCACGTCATGACATCAGTGGGGATATTTTATAGGTAACGTTGTGCAGTATTGTTTAGTATTGTCAGCACCAGGATCTTGACGTCATGACATCAGTGAAGCTGTTTTATAGATAACGTTGTGCAGTAGTTGTTTAGTATTGTCAGCACCAGGATCTTGACGTCATGACATCAGTGGGGCTGTTTTATAGGTAACGTTGTGCAGTAGTTGTTTAGTATTACACAGGATTACCAGCACCAGCACCACGATTGGAGTTCCTATAAATCTTGATATATACTTTTATTTTAAAACTGTATAATACTTTTTAAGATACTTAAACTGTATAATACTCCTTTAAGATACTTAAACTGTGTAATACTTTTTTAAGATACTTAAACTGTGTATGTGTGTGTTTTTGTGTATAAGTATATAGATAATTTTTTCCACTGGTGTACTAAGCCTGTTTCCAATATGTTAATTCAAACTACACACGAAGGGCTACATACTTCCAAGTAGATCTGCTTTAGAACACTGTTTTATGGGAATGATAAAAACAAAAAGTACTGAGCATATTTTTAGCTTACCATTAATATACAGTTCAGCCCATTTTTTATAAGTTCTTCCATCAGATGTCGCTTCACATCGGTATTCGCCTTCGTAGAGTTTTGAAGCTTTTTTTATCGTGAGAACACTTACATATCTCAGCTTGTTTGGAAATAGAGATAAGATAAAGAGACTTGTCTTCTCTTCTAAGTTGTCATCTCGAGCAGGAAGGAGAACGTTGTTATTCAGAAACCAAGTAAAATTAACTCGGACGTCCTGGACGCTGGCTACAGCAGAGCAATTGAAGAATACTGAACTTCCTGAGGTAACCCACTGGTACAGTGGACGAACTTCTAGTTTTGAAAAGCCCTCAAAAGTTGCTAAAAGTAATAAAATAATAATATATTATAAATCTGGTAAAATGTAAGACCTTCATTTCAGCAGTATTTTCTAATCTTAAAAGGAAGGAATCCTTTTAGTATCAGGTTGAGACAAAATAACTTTTTACACAAACACATTATTATCTGCTACGTTGAGAAACAATAATGATCTAATACTATCACCAGTATTAAAAGTACCACAAAAATGTAAATATATAGTCCAGTGTTGATATCACCAGTATTAAAAGTATCACAAAAATGTAAATATATAATCCAGTGTTGATATCACCAGTATTAAAAGTACCATAAAAATGTAAATATATAATCCAGTGTTGATATCACCAGTATTAAAAGTACCACAAAAATGTAAATATATAATCCAGTGTTGATATCACCAGTATTAAAAGTACCACAAAAATGTAAATATATAATCCAGTGTTGATATCACCAGTATTAAAAGTACCACAAAAATGTAAATATATAATCCGGTGTTGATATCACCATTATTAAAAGTACCATAAAAATGTAAATATATAATCCAGTGTTGATATCACCAGTATTAAAAGTACCACAAAAATGTAGATATATAATCCAGTATTGATATCACCAGTATTAAAAGTAATAGTGTTGGAGAAATGTAAACATATAATCAGACGTACTCAGACAAACATCAGTATTATATCTATGATTATATTACATACGTAATCAGACAAACATCAATATTATATCTATACTTACATTACATACAAAATCAGACAAACATCAATATTATATCTATGCTTACATTACATACATAATCAGACAAACATCAGTATTATATCTATGCTTACATTACATACAGAATCAGACAAACATCAATATCATATGTATGCTATATTATTTACATAGTAAGACAAACATCAGTATTATATCTATGATTATATTACATACGTAATCAGACAAACATCAATATTATATCCATGATTATATTACATACATAGTAAAAACAAACATAATTATCATATCTATGCTTATATTACATACATAATCAAATGAATATAAATATCAAACCTTCCACCAGTCTCCTGTTTCTGTATTTGTACGTTAAACCAAGTAAAAAATACAAACGAAATGAATTGACATCTACTATTCTAGTATCTATTATGTACCCTGTTGTGGGAGGGCACTTGCCCCTGAAGTACTTTTATGTACCCTGTCGTGGGGGCACTTCCCCCTGGAGTACAGTTTAAGGTAAGACGTAAAGAGAAAGAATATGATAAGATCTATGGTTTTGATATTTAATGCTAATAATGTGGAATTAAAATACATAGTAGAGACGCCTGATATGGACTTTAAAAACAAACAGATAACGTTTAGACCAGCTTAGAACATCATCAGGTTAAGAATGACTTTTTTTTAAGGTGACTATTAACATGAAACCTCCTACACTCTCTCTTCGAAAGCATATCGTTAATTAACGATCACACACACCTTCTGACAACCTTTTATCATACACAAACAACTTCCGAGTACACCCAAACATGGGCAGCGATCACGACCCGATTTCATTCAATCTAAACATTAACACTTCGCACTCGCGTTCTCACAACACTCCAACAGCATTCGACTTCACAAAAGCCGACTTGCTAAGACCCTGATATCAACCTACTTGCAATACTTTCTGCGGCAACACCCATACTGACAATTAATAAATATCTAAACAACATCATTATATAAAACGCCTTCCCCTACTTGCAAAACATTCGACATAAACCATTGGAAACTTACATCAACAATACACTCTCACATACTAGAAAAAAGACGACTCAGAATATTCTTCATTCAAACAAATTACAAAACACTCATCAACAAGCAAAGTCTCCAAATTACAAAACACTCACCAACAGACAAAGTCTCCAAATTACAAAACACTCACCAACAGACAAAGTCTCCAAATTACAAAACACTCACCAACAGACAAAGTCTCCAAATTACAAAACACTCACCAACAGGCAAAGTCTCCAAATTACAAAACACTCATCAACAGGCAAAGTCTCCAAATTACAAAACACTTACCAACAGGCAAAATCTCCAAATTACAAATACACTCATCAACAGGCAAAGTCTCCAAATTACAAAACACTCATCAACAGGCAAAGTCTCCAAATTACAAAACACTCACCAACAGGCAAAGTCTCCAAATTACAAAACACTCACCAACAGACAAAGTCTCCAAATTACAAAACACTCACCAACAGACAAAGTCTCCAAATTACAAATACACTCATCAACAGGCAAAGTCTCCAAATTACAAAACACTCACCAACAGGCAAAGTCTCCAAATTACAAATACACTCATCAACAGACAAAGTCTCCAAATTACAAAACACTCATCAACAGACAAAGTCTCCAAATTACAAAACACTCATCAACAGACAAAGTCTCCAAATTACAAAACACTCATCAACAGGCAAAGTCTCCAAATTACAAAACACTCACCAACAGACAAAGTCTCGAAACACATATATATATAAACTTAATCAAAGAACAACAAAATGCCAAGTGGAAAATTTTCTGCATATCACTGGACAATAACAGGGCCAACCCTGCGCTTTTCTGGCGCAAATTCAAAACAATTTTCAAAGACTCTACACCTCAAGTCCAGCAACTAATCAGACTTAGAACAAGTCATCCACAACCGACAGAAAAAAACAAAAATATTCAGCGAATACTTTAAAACTATCTAGAAATACAAATATTCGATCAAGTACATTACAAAAGTCAACAAACATAACAAAGCCACTTTCAACCCTCACTTCCCGATCTCACTCGACCCGGACCCATCATCCACCAATAACAACATAGATAGGCCCATCACACTCGGTGAAATAAAAATCAACATTAAAAGACTTAAAAACTCTTCCCCAAGCGAGGACGGAGACCGAAAAATCATCCAAAAGAATGCTTCTCACACACCTGTGTGCCGCATATAACCTATCACTAAACTCTGGATACTACTACTCCACAACCTGGAAAACCGCTTTAATAACCCATTAGCCTACTTAACTTCCTCGCCAAACCGTTAGAAAAAATAACAACAGCACGACTCTTACATCACCTGGAAACAAACAAACTACTAACAGGCATACAGAACGCCTCTAGAAAACGCAGACAGACGACGGACTGCCTGGTAAGACTGACCAAATCTGTCTACCGTTGATTCAATCACAATCACGTTAGAGTATCCACCTTCGACGTCAGAAAAGCTTTTGATAGCGTCTGACACAACGGACTACGATACAAACTCATTCCCTTCAACATCCCTAAACCCCTAATACGTTGGATTTCCAGCTTCCTAGCTCATAGAACTACCAGAACTAAAATCAAAAACGATATATCCAGGCCTTTCAAACTGTTAGCAAAAGTCCCACAAGGTTTGGTTTTAAGCCCTCTGCTATACCCCATTCGTAAAGAATATAAACTTTACACTTCTAAACACACACGTGTCTCAATACGTGGACGACATCGCCTTATGGAGCACGTCTCGCGACTCCCCCCCCTTAGCTGTACAAAATATAGTTGTGTCTTACTCAACCCTCTCAAATCACAAGCATTTATCTTCAAGAAAATCCTCAAAAGAAATAAGTTCACAATATACAATATCACACTCAAACTCTACGGAAATACGTTCACAATATACAATATCACACTCAAACTCTACGAAAATACGTTCACAATATACAATATCACACTCAAACTCTACGGAAATACGTTCACAATATACAATATCACACTCAAACTCTACGGAAATACGTTCACAATATACAATATCACACTGAAACTCTACGGAAATACGTTCACAATATACAATATCACACTCAAACTCTACGGAAATACGTTCACAATATACAATATCACACTCAAACTCTACGAGAAATAAGTTCACAATATACAATATCACACTCAAACTCTACGAGAAATACGTTCACAATATACAATATCACACTCAAACTCTACGAGAAATACGTTCACAATATACAATATCACACTCAAACTCTACGAGAAATACGTTCACAATATACAATATCACACTGAAACTCTACGGAAATACGTTCACAATATACAATATCACACTCAAACTCTACGAGAAATAAGTTCACAATATACAATATCACACTCAAACTCTACGAGAAATAAATTCACAATATACAATATCACACTGAAACTCTACGGAAATATGTTCACAATATACAATATCACACTCGAAACTCTACGGAAATACGTTCACAATATACAATATCACACTCAAACTCTACGGAAATACGTTCACAGTATACAATATCACACTCAAACTCTATGAGAAATAAGTTCACAATATACAATATCACACTCAAACTCTACGAGAAATAAGTTCACAATATACAATATCACACTCAAACTCCACGACTCACAAATCAACTTCACTAATTCTATTACTTTCCTAGTCATAATAAATTAACACACCACACTCAAGAGAGCCACTTAAAGATCCAACTACCTAAAAAAATAGGAGGATATGCTAAAGGATGCGACGCCCAATCACTTACCCTAACTTATAAAAAGTATATAAGACCAATCATCCCATCACTTTCAACATGCTCGAAACCTTACAGTCAAAATCAATTAGAATCGCTCACCGCCTACCCATCTATACCTCTTCATCTTACCTAATTAAAACCTTGCCACATCTTGCCAAAAAAAAGCCGATCAACGTAACAATTTTTCAGCAAAATGCTCAAAACTCTCTGAAACCCCGGATTCCTGGGGAAAATACATCTCAGCTTTGAAGTTCTATCACCCAGAGCATACCTGTTCATCGACCCGGAACGTATCTGATCAACAATTCATGTGTTCTTATTCTACCGATTCTCCACGATCAGCTCTCCACCACATCCATCAGTGTCCTGTATGAACTCCATCAGGTGGAATTCCCTCTTACCGCATGTACACCAACTCTTTCTCCCGCTCCTGTTCTCGCAGTACCTATCAGATCCTGTATGAACTCCATCAGGTGGAATTCCCTCTTACCGCATCTACGCTAACTCTTTCTCCAGCTCCTGTTCCTTCCAATCCCAGGAGCCGCATCTACACACGTCATGACATCAGTGGGGCTGTTTTATAGGTAACGTTGTGCAGTAGTTGAAGATCCTGGTGCTGACAATACTAAAACTAAACTGTTGTATTAAGTTCTGTTATTAAAGTGTATTAAGTTCTTATATTAAAGTGTATTAAGTTCTGTTATTAAAGTGTATTAAGTTCTGTTACTAAACTGTTGTGAAAAGTTCTGATTTTAAAGTGTTGTTTAAAGTTATGTTATTAAAGTGTATTAAGTTCTGTTACTAAAGTGTTGTGGAAAGTTCTTATATTAAAGTATATTAAGTTCTGATATCAAAGTGTATTAAGTTCCGATATTAAAGTGTATTAAGTTCTGATACTGAAGTGTTGTAGTGAAACTAAAGATATGTATTAAGTTCTGATATTAAAGTGTATTAAGTTCTGATATTAAAGTATATTAAGTTCTGATATCAAAGTGTATTAAGTTTTGATACTAAACAGTTGTGTAAAGTTTTGATATTAAAGTGTATTAAGTTCTGATATGAAAGTGTATTAAGTTCTGATATTAAAGTGTATTAAGTTCTGATATGAAAGTATATTAAGTTCCGATATTAAAGTGTATTAAGTTCTGATATCAAAGTGTATTAAGTTTTGATATTAAAGTGTATTAAGTTCTGATATGAAAGTATATTAAGTTCTGATATCAAAGTGTATTAAGTTCCGATATTAAAGTGTATTAAGTTCTGATACTGAAGTGTTGTAGTGAAACTAAAGATATGTATTAAGTTCTGATATTAAAGTGTATTAAGTTCTGATATCAAAGTGTATTAAGTTTTGATATTAAAGTGTATTAAGTTCTGATATGAAAGTATATTAAGTTCTGATATCAAAGTGTATTAAGTTCCGATATTAAAGTGTATTAAGTTCTGACGCTCATGTTTTCTATTAATTTCTGGTGCTGTAGTCAGTTTAACGGATGATATCCCACATACCTCTTCTGTAGCAGATACGAATTCCGTAATCGTCTTCGACAAGATCGTGGTGAGGCCTGCAGCGACACCTACTGTCTCTACACTCTGTGGTTGGGGAGGTGTAATTACACTGTAGACTGTTAAAACATTTCTCGCCGTAGTCTTTGTCTGGAAAGTAGTGTTTATCTTAGTAATTCTCTTAGTAACCATTAACACAAATTTCGTGTTTATCTTAGTAATTCTCTTAGTAGCCATTTACGCAAATTTCGTGTTTATCTTAGTAATTCTTTTAGTAACCATTAACACAAATTTTGTGTTTATCTTAGTAATTCTCTTAGTAGCCATTTACGCAAATTTCGTGTTTATCTTAGTAATTCTTTTAGTAACCATTAACACAAATTTCGTGTTTATCTTAGTAATTCTTTGAGTAACCATTAACACAAATTTCGTGTTTATCTTAGTAATTCTCTTAGTAACCATTTACGCAAATTTCGTGTTTACCTTAGTAATTCTTGTAGTAGCCATTAATACAAATTTCGTGTTTATCTTAGTAATTCTTGTAGTAGCCATTAATGCAAATTTCGTGTTTATCTTAGTAATTCTCTTAGTAGCCATTAACACAAAGTTCTGTATAGAATGCACTAGTTTTGTAACAGAAAATACAAGATAATATTTTTAAATTTTTAACATTCTTCAATTAAAAATAAATTAATATTGAAAAAAAAAAGATATAATTATATAACTACATTTCCTAACGTCCGAAAATATATATCGACCAGTGCTAATAGCATCTTTTAGAATAAAATAGAGCGTTTTATAAATAGCGATCATGGTGTTAACTTCATAAACATTAATCACGGTTGTATCCTTTATAAACACTAATCATGGTTGTATCCTTTATAAACGTTAATCAGGGTTGTACTTTCATAAACATTACCCCCCCCCCCAATGGCACAGCGGTATGTCTGCGGACTTACAACGCTAGAAACCGGGTTTTGATACCCGTGGTGGACAGAGCACAGATAGCCCATTGTGTAGCTTTGTGCATAATTACAAACAAATAATTCATAAACATTTATCAGTGTGTCACCTTTATAAGCACTAATCAAGATTGTACTTCTATAAATAATAATCAGGGTTGTACATTTATAAACAATAATCAGGGTTGTACCTTTATAAGCAATAATCAGGATTGTCACCTTTATAAACACTAATCAGGGTGTACAGCTTTATAAACTACTAATCAGGGTGTCACCTTTATAAGCACTAATCAAGATTGTACCTCTACAAATAATAATCAGGGTTGTACATTTATAAACAATAATCAGAGTTGTACATTTATAAACAATAATCAGGGTGTCACCTTTATAAACACTAATCAGGGTGTCAGCTTTATAAACACTAATCAGGGTGTCATCTTTATAAACACTAACCAGAGTTGTACATTCATAAACATTCTGGAAGAGATCCTACCTTCGAGGCACTTCAACTCGGAACGAACTTTCACAAGAACAGGATACTTAGCGACGCACTGACAACGTTTCTCAACACACGTTGTTTTAGAAGTCGCACAATCTAAATCGTTAGTGCATCGTTCGCCTATCGCCGCTTGTTTTCGTTCTGAACAGAAATCATAAGATTACTTACAATGTATAACCTTTTGAGGTATGCATAGAATAATTATTAAAAGTATTAATTACCAAGAGAAATAAATGTAATAATTGAGTAACTTAACTTAATTATCAAAGATTTATGTTCAAAAATATGTAAAACAAATCTCATAAGCTCCAGCTGCAGTTTCGTCAGAATATTAAAGTAAAATAAAAAAGGTAGTGAATAAAATACATCAAAATATTAACAGTATGTATACATGACATCAGTGGGGATATTTTATAGGTAACGTTGTGCAGTACTTGAACAGAACTTAATACACTTTAATATCAGAACTTTCCACAACAGTTTAGTAACAGAACTTAATACACTTTAATATCAGAACTTTACACAACACTTTAGTAACAGAGCTTAATACATTTTAATAACAGAACTTAATACACTTTAATATCAGAACTTTACACAACACTTTAGTAACAGAACTTAATACACTTTAATAACAGAACTTAATACACTTTAGTATCAGAACTTAATACACTTTAATATAAGAACTTAATACACTTTAATACCAGAACTTTACACAACACTTTAATATCAGAACTTAATACACTTTAATATCAGAACTTTCCACAACAGTTTAGTAACAGAACTTAATACACTTTAATATCAGAACTTAATACACTTTAATATCAGAACTTAATACATTTTAATATCATAACTTTTACACAACTCTATAATATCATGTGTTAATTTAACTTCTGCATTTAGACCAGGTATATTAACAGTGTTGAAACTTTGGTATTGGCGCGATAATAGATTTTTGTCCACAAAGAAACTTCTATGATAAAATCATAAGAACAGCGATAACGCCCTCACTCATAATAATTTTATAGATTTTCTTAACCCTTCTTTACTGAACTAAAAAACAGATATCTGGCCAGTATGTTATATGTCTGCCTCTCTTACAGATTATATCAACCATCCTTTACTGAACTAAAAACAGATATCTGGCCAGTATGTTTTATGTCTGCTTCTCTTACAGATTATATCAACCATCCTTTACTGAACTAAAAAACAGATATCTGGCCAGTATGTTATATGTCTGCCTCTCTTACAGATTATATCAACCATCCTTTACTGAACTAAAAAACAGATATCTGGCCAGTATGTTATATGTCTGCCTCTCTTACAGATTCTCTTAACCATTCTTTA